CATGGTGGGTGGTGCTATTTTTTGTTAAGAGTCTTGTAGTGGTATTTTGACCTTGAAACTACCAATATATGAATTAGGTAAAAATAAAAAGCAACTTTAAAATAAATGAGAAGAAACTAGGATAGAAAAGGGCTAGGATATTGGAAGAGGACATATACCAAGATAATGGAGTTACCAAGAATATGGCAGGAATTAGGCTGCATTAACAGGACTACGGGCAAGGAACTGAGATCTTAAGAAGAATAATAAATGATAACAAGGCACGTGAAGTTCAAATGGCGTAAACCTCATAAAAAGGCTTACAAAAAAGATTTTTGCAAGACAGAGGAGGCAGTGTTCTAAAATAGACTTTACTGAGATTTAACAGTTTTGCCTAATACATTTTATTCTAATATATATTAACAACTATGCAAACTCCCTATGTGCCTGACAGTATGCTTTTAATAAAGAATTAAATCATCTGAGAGTACATTTTATGATATCACAGATATTAATTTTCTGTGCTGTGTTTCCATTAATTCAAGAGCCTTTTCTGTGAGAAACTAATGGGAAGACCTACAATTCATTCTAAGAAAGTTTATTCTCTATCGTTCTCTTATCCCTGCTCAGCTTCTTGAAAATACAAGCATTTATGACAAAAATAATAAGTCAAAATTATGGCAAGATATCAGCCAAAGTTTTCTGCTATCATAATGTGACAAAGCCAATTGAATTTTAAGTTTAGGTTTTTCCATTTCTTTAATGTTGACATTTAGTTACTGTTGATATTGTTGTGTGCCTGTTGATACTGTAGTCTTAAAAGAATTTATTTGCAAAGTGTCATAAACTGCTTTAGATTTTTTTTTTAAGGAACAAGAATAAAGATGCCAAATTGTATGTTTTTGGTTTTTGTTCTTGTGAGTACTATAGTATCATAGTCTTTCTCTGTTACTCTACTATTAATTTCCAAACTCTTCCTGGATTAAGAATTGGGAAGTTTAAAAACACCTTTCCTGGCTGGGCATGGTGGCTCACACCTGTAATCCCAGCACTTTCGGAGGCTGAGGCCAGTGGATCACCTGAGATCAGGAGTTCGAGACCAGCCTGATCAACATGGTGAAACCCCATCCCTACTAAAAAGACAAAAATTAGCTGGGCATGGTGGTGCGCACCTCTAATCCCAGCTATTCGGGAGGCTGAGGCAAGAGATTCACTTGAACCTGGAAGGTGGAGGTTGCAGTGAGCTGAAATTGCACCATTGTACTCCAGCATGAACCACAGAATGAGAGTCCGTCTCAAAAAAAGAAAGAAAAAAAAGAGAGAAAAATATTTTTGTAGTTTATTTCTTTTGTACTCAAACTGCTTCTTCAAAACCATGGATACATTTGATATGTTATAGAGTGAGAGGGAAGATAAGGGTGTTTTGTAAGTGATGAAGCTGTAAACCTTAGAATCACAAGGAACTGGTTACATGAAATTGGGAAGATTGCTACTAATTAAAGGTTTTGAACTAATTTTACTGTGTTACACAAATGTGCTCCTGGTTATAACTTTTGAAAAGCTGTATAGAAGTGTGTTTCAACAATATGGAGCATATTTTGTCTTTGTAATATTCAAATTAAGGAGACAGGTTGATGCACAGGAAAAAGAAACCAGAGTTTAAGAGTGTTTATTTCCTTTCACCTGAGTTCAAAATATGCTACTGGAAGGGAAATGGGAAGTAAGGACTGGCTTGAACAGGTCAGTGCCTAAAAGGCCCTGTGGCTTTCCTGCTGCCCAATAGAACACGCGCCTCATCACTTCAGCAGGGCAGTGAACTGCTTCATTGCTTCAGTGAACTCTTGGCCAGTATCACTGAAATTCTGAATGGGAAGGGGCATGGGCACTGCATTAGCTACCTTTACATGCTACTTTGATTAATTTATTTTTCTCTTTTTCCTGTTTTGTCTTTAGATTTTATAATCAATGGATAAAGTGGGAAAAATGTGGAATAACTTCAAATACAGGTGTCAGAATCTCTTCAGTCATGAGGGAGGAAGCCACAATGAAAATGTGGACATGAACTCCAACAGATGTTTGTCTGTCAAAGAGAAAAACATCAGCATAGGAGACTCAGCTCCTCAGCAACAAAGCAGTCCCTTAAGAGAAAATGTTGCCTTAGAACTGGGATTAAGCCCTTCAAAGAATTCTTCAAGGAGAAGTCAAAATTGTGCCACTGAAATCCCTCAAATTGTTGAAATAAGCATTGAAAAGGATAATGATTCTTGTGTTACCCCAGGAACAAGACTTGCACGAAGAGATTCCTACTCTCGACATGCTCCGTGGGGTGGGAAGAAAAAACATTCCTGTTCTACAAAGACCCAGAGTTCATTAGATACTGATAAAAAGTTTGGTAGAACTCGAAGTGGACTTCAAAGGAGAGAGAGGCGCTATGGCGTAAGTTCTGTACACGACATGGACAGTGTTTCCAGCAGAACTGTAGGAAGTCGTTCTCTGAGACAGCGGTTGCAGGATACTGTGGGCTTGTGTTTTCCCATGAGAACTTACAGCAAGCAGTCAAAGCCTCTCTTTTCCAATAAAAGAAAAATCCATCTTTCTGAATTAATGCTTGAGAAATGCCCTTTTCCTGCTGGTTCCGATTTAGCTCAAAAATGGCATTTGATTAAACAGCATACAGCGCCTGTGAGCCCACATTCAACATTTTTTGATACATTTGATCCATCTTTGGTTTCTACAGAAGATGAAGAAGATAGGCTTAGAGAGAGAAGGCGGCTTAGTATTGAAGAAGGGGTTGATCCCCCTCCCAATGCACAAATACATACATTTGAAGCTACCGCACAGGTTAATCCATTATATAAACTGGGACCAAAGTTAGCTCCTGGAATGACTGAAATAAGTGGGGACAGTTCTGCAATTCCACAAGCTAATTGTGACTCAGAAGAGGATGCAACCACCCTGTGTTTGCAGTCACGGAGGCAGAAGCAGCGTCAGGTATCTGGAGACAGCCATACCCATGTTAGCAGACAGGGAGCTTGGAAAGTCCACACACAGATTGATTACATACACTGCCTTGTGCCTGATTTGCTTCAAATTACAGGGAATCCCTGTTACTGGGGAGTGATGGACCGTTATGAAGCAGAAGCCCTTCTTGAAGGGAAACCTGAAGGCACGTTTTTGCTCAGGGACTCTGCACAAGAGGACTACCTCTTCTCTGTGAGCTTCCGACGTTACAACAGATCCCTGCATGCCCGAATTGAGCAGTGGAATCACAACTTTAGTTTTGATGCCCATGACCCGTGTGTATTTCACTCCTCCACTGTAACAGGACTTTTAGAACATTATAAAGATCCAAGTTCATGCATGTTTTTTGAACCATTGCTTACTATATCACTAAATAGGACTTTTCCTTTTAGCCTGCAGTATATCTGCCGTGCGGTAATCTGCAGGTGCACTACGTATGATGGCATTGATGGGCTCCCTCTACCCTCAATGTTACAGGATTTTTTAAAAGAATATCATTATAAACAAAAAGTTAGAGTTCGCTGGTTGGAACGAGAACCAGTCAAGGCAAAGTAAACTCTCCTGTCCCCAAAGGGTGTTAACTAGGTCCGCTTTCATGTGCATCAGACAGTACACTTATAGCAAGCACACGTAGCAGTGTTAGGCTTTTTCATACAGTATGTAAGCTTAGTGTTAGTATCTGTCAGATGCGACCTGCTCTTACTTATTCAGATAAACATGGTGCCTATTGGAACAACAGAGGATAGAGCTACAGGTGTTCAGTAAGACTACAAAAACATTGTGTCGATTTCGCTAACAGTTTGGTTTTTAATGGCTGTAGTATTTGAGTGAGGCAACTCTGGGGCATTTGTTATGAAGAATTCTATTTCTTACTGAAGAACAAATTATTAATATTGGATGAGTATTTCAACAGTGTGAGTAATGTTTGAAATTATTTTTTCTAAGAGTTTTTCTATAACCTTCCAAAAGTAGTGATGTTTGTAGTTACTATAAATCAAGCTTTGGAAGTCCAAAAAATAAAAAATAAAAGACTGCCTTCCTTTTAGAAAAAAATGCAATTTTCTGGCCACAAGGGCATAGTGCAGTTGACTTCAGTGTTGATGTAGTTTGTAATCAGACACCTTTTCTCTTCTGCAAAAGGTACTGTTAAGTAAACCAGATTTTCTAAGTAGTCATTCTTAAAATTTCAGACTTACAAAGCTAGTAGTAGGATTTTATTGAAAGGCCCTAGGTATTAATTTTTTAAGTGAGTGCTTTAACTTAAAACAGGCATTTGGAATAGCTGCTGCAATGTAGTCTTGCGTGTGATTTTTTTTCAGTTGATGTGCAGTCTAATTGTTGTTTCATAAAAGTTGGATCTTTTCCTATGCCCAGGATGATTTTGTGAACCATGAAGTACATGAGACTAGAAGATGCCCAAACAAATCAGATGATAGTAACTACAGTGGTTGCTGATGTTGAGATTATTGTTGAACTGTAATTAATAATTTGGATGGCAGTATTTATCTCTTTTTTGTAAACTCTCATAGCTGAATTGCTTAAGTATAATTTATAGGAATTTCAGTGCAGTTAATTCTTAATGGAAAATCTGAAACCTAAATTGCAGAGTTAAAAGGTACTGTACAACCATTATATCTGTAAATAACTTTACTTAGCACCTTTTTGTCACTTAGAATAATATGTACTACTACTTGAGTGAGCTCTTTTGGAAGTTATATCAAGTTCTAGTGTTTGCTTCTTAGTAACTGGACTGAATTTACAGTTCTGTCCTAGACATTTTGCACTAAAGTAGCCAAATCCATTCTTGTGTCTTTCTGTTTATGTGCTCTGTACCACTGGTGAGTGCTCCATAGTTCCCTTACCTGCTGCTACAGAATGTTATTTTACATCCCTATGGTTATTGCCAAGGCTACAAAAAAGAAAAGCTATATTTGTATGCAACACTAACCCTTTGACTGCTAATGTATGTTTCTGCTTGCTGTGCCTTGTTATGGCTGCTTTTTTGTGCTAATAAAGTATGTTTGGTGTTCTCCTTGTATATCTGCTGTTTTATACATTTGCAACAATTTCTCTTGTAAATGGAATAGTTTGGGGTTTTTAAATAAGCATTAACTAACAACCTTTCCATAGTTAATGCAGAGTTATTATACAGTCTAATATTGACTTATCAGAATAAGCTAACTCCAAATTTAATGCTCTACATCTGATCAGTCATAATCACATATACTGTGGAACAGTATGTATAGTTACTGCAAATTACTGTACAGTTTAGGTTATAACAGAACTGACAGAGAAATAGTAAGCCTATTGATTTCTCTGCTTATAAGTGAAAGAGTGAAACTATTCAATGACATAGTAAATGAGTATGTAACCTCCCACTGCATCAGAAGCAGATTGAATGAAGTCTTGTGAATTAGTAATACATCAGTACCGTGTATTGGTTTGGGGACCATCTTAATTAAAAATAAATGCCCAAAATGTAGAACTTTAACCAAAGACTTGTCCATTTTAAAGCAAAATGGGGATTGAAGGGACTTATAATTTCTGTTGTTTCTATTGAAGTCCCTGAAGATCATATACCAAAGTGTTTGAGAACTTCATCCAAACCTACTTTAAAGCATTATGTGCAATTAAGTTGTTATGACATTATTATATTGCGTAATTGTTGGGTCTATTTTCTTGAGCTTATAATGTACCTGGAAAATAAACCTCTTAAGGAAAAAAAAAGTCCATACTGATTATTGGAAAAGGACTATATATATAAGCAAGATTGTGTTTTAGAGAGGAAACTTGAAACTCCAAGAAAGCACTTGATGTTTTTATATGCTTGTAGCAAATTGATGTTCTAACTGTAGTTTTATAGAAAATATTAATGCTTTTATGTATTTAAAACTTTCTTGTGTTAAATGGAAATTGTTTTAAATGTGTTTGAGTTTATGTAAGCATGTGTACACTGTGCTAAAAGTCACTTCTGTTTCAGTTTGTGTATAATATTAATATGCAATTTTTGGTTTAAATTTTTTTCTTAAAATATTAGTGGCTTACATTTTAAAAAAGAAAAATCACCAGCATGAATTGCACCTAAGTCTATATATTCACTGTGTCCTTTTCTGAATCCCATTGTAGCCTGTCAACTGAATTTAAGTGTTATGGTCTTTTTAAAGTGCATTTAAATATAAACCAGGAATTTCTTTAAAAGTTGAGATATATCTTTATAGTTGAAATAATTAACCCAAGAAAATGTTGCTTTGATTTGTACCCATTCTCATTCATTCTCTTCATTCCCTTACACACACACACACACACACACACACACACACACACACCCCTACCTCTCCCTTCCCCCATATGTACAAGTGTGTATTATGTATGTATGCACATATATACATTTATGTTGTTAATATTACTTTAGATGGCATTCCCACCTGATACAAAAGCATTTAGAGATCTTATGCTATAGATATTACCTGAAGAGTATTCTTGTACTATTCAAATTTTATTCTCTGCACTTAAAGTTTAGCCTTGCTACTTTAGTCTTGTTTATAATACAGTCACCTTACAAAGAGAAAGAGTTCATCTGTATTTTCTTTTCTGGCTTAACACAGTACAAAATATTTGAAGAAAAGCAGCTTGGATTAAATAGTTATTAAGAGTCATAATTAAATTTATGTTTCTTAGACAAAACTTGAACCCAAATAATCATTCTCTACACACCAATCTGTTTTTGCCTCTTATGTTTACATAAGATTTATAATGGCTGGAACCATAAGAACTGATACTTGAATTTTAACCTTCATTTGACAAAATCCAAAGCTTATGAATTTTTTAATTTCACATTTTGATCTGGTTGCTATTTATGTTTATTCCAAAGCTTTCTTTTCTCTCTGGCACTAAACACTAATTTGGAAAGTTTTATTGAGACTGGTCTTAGATCTCTTATTTTTATAGCAAATACTGCTTTTTGGTAGAACCAAAGAGCCTGTCAGTGAATCTGGAGCCGCCTTTTTTTTTTTTTTTTTTGAGACAGAGTGTTGCTCTTGTCGTCCAGGCTGGAGTGAAGTGATCTGATCTTGGCTCACTGCAACCTCTGCCTCCCAGGTTCTAGTCATTCTCCTCCTCAGCCTCCCAAGTAGCTGGAATTACAGGCACCTGCCACCACACCCAGCTAATTTTTGTATGTTTAGTAGCAACAGGGTTTCACCATGTTGGCCAGGCTGTTCTCAAACTCCTGACCTCAGGTGATCCACCTGCCTCAGCCTCTTAAATTGCTGGGATTACAGGCGTGAACCACTGCACCCGGCCATAGGACCCTCCTAAGAAGGATACAGAGCCAGGTTCATCTTTGAGAGCGTTAATATAGGGCAAATAGCACCAGTTTGTTTGCTTATCTGTACCCCAGCACATGCAGTTTTACTTAGATGAAATTAGATAGAAATGTACACCAAGGGCTGACTCAAAGGTGAGAAAAGTTTCTGAAGAGGGCAATGCTGCTTGGCCTGTGTGCATAAAAGCTACATGCATTTGAGACTCTGGTTTTGTTTTATAATTTGCAACAGCTGATCCAGAACATAGACTTTTAAAATAGTATATTCTAAAGAGATTTGGGGTGGAATTTTTGTGGGAGGTAGCTGGCTATTTGTGGTGGACGGGAGGAGATGTTGCTATTGCAAAGCATAGATGAGTTGGAGCAACTGTTTTGTTTTCATGCCCTGGACGCTTGATTGAACGTGAAGACTCTCTTCAGCCATGCACTCAACAAATATTTATTGAAGACCTGTGTGCCACTCACTATTTTAAGTAATGGGGGTGCATTGGGGTACAAGACAAAGTTTTACTGCCTTCTGGAGTTTATTGAATTCTAGTAGATAAGAGAGCAGTGAAATACAAAATAATTTCTGAAGCTGTGAATAAAATGAGGCAGAATATAGTGGTAGAGGACAGAATTTTATAGGGTCGTAACCTTGAATGATAGGAAAATTAGACCAAGATCAAAGAACAAATCATTCTAGATGAAGAGAACAATAAAACTAGTCCCCAAAGCAGAAATGGAATTATTTGCTGAGAAAGAAAGAATGCCAGTAAGGTAAGTCCATTGAGTAAGGAGGAGAATAATAAATGATGAGGTTCTAGAGACTGGCAAGGGCCTGACCATTTAAGGCTATAAGCCTATAGTGAGGGATTTAGGATGTTATTTTGATTGTGATGGGAAGCCATTGGAGGGTTTTAAGTGAAGGAGACGTGTGGTGTGTTGTAAATTTCTCTTGTCAGTGGAGAAAAGACCAGTGGAACAAGGTGAGGACTAGACTTACGGTCATTCAGGTGAGAGATGGTGGGACCCTGGACGAGGTGATAGTCATGGGGAGAAGTCAGAATTGGGGCATATTTTCGTGGTAGAGCTGATAAGATATGGCGATGGATTAGATGTGAACAAGAAGAAAAAGATCAAAGATGACTCCAGTTTTGGGTGTGAGAAGGGTGGTGCTACCATTAGCTGAGATTTAAGAAAACCAATGGAGGAGCAAATCGGAGGATATAAATCAAATTCTGCCTTGAAGTATTGAGTTTTGAGATTCCTATTAATAATCCTAAGAGACATTGCATAGTAGGCAGTTGGATATATGAGTGGAGAGTTTAAGGGAGAAAATTAAAGTGGGGAATGACTAGACCAGGCACGGTGGCTCACACCTGTAACCTCAGCACTTTTGGGAGGCCAAGGCAGAAGAATCACTTGAGACCAGGATTTTGAGACCAGCCTGGGCAACATAGCAAGACCCCATCTCTACAAATTAGCTGGGTGGGTTGGTACATGCCTGTAGTCCTAGCTACTTGAGAGGCTGAGGCAGGAGGATCACTTGAGACACAGTCACATCCTGTCTCTAAAAATATATATTAAAAATAAAATGGGGAATCACTATATTGATAGTATTTAAAGCCACAGAACAGGATGCAACAGCCAGGGATTTTGCATGGGATTAAGAATTTCTTTAGAGGAAATAATTATGGCAACATTTATCTTAGTTTGTCAATTCAGGATTCTGTATCATTAGATGTTTTAAAAGCCATCTGCTTTGAATAGAGGACTTGTCTTCCAAAAAGTTTTAAAATACTGGAATCAAACCTTGCACTGAATTTTAAAACTTTATCCACATCACATTTGGTTGTCATGCTTTCTGTGTCAGATTTGTTTGTGTATCTTTTTTAGTGTGAATTTTTATATGAGAAATCCAAGTTCATTATGGAATATTTAAGAAGCACTAAAGATTGTAAAAGAACCTATCCAAAACAGTTCATACTGTTGACTGGACATTTAGACTCTGGTCATTCATTCAGCAAATACTCATTGAAGACCCATGTGCCAGTCACAATTTTAGGTAATGGGTATATATTGAGGTACGTTACTACCACCAGCCCTGCCCCTCCCAACTCCCATTTTGAAATTTTCCAGAGGTAACTGCTATTAATATTTGTTACATTCCTTTTCATATTTTTCATATATTTTCACAGTTTTAAAAATCATATTTTATAAAAGAAAGTTGTACATCTTGAGTCAGTTACTGAAGGGTTTTTTCGAAATAGGATTTCAGTAGAAGATGAAGACCCTTGACTAAGTTTATAAACTGGTGGGGATGTAGGCAACTATATAAATGTATAGTTATGAGAACATATGGACATAAAGTAATTAAGTAAAAACTGGTTTCATTGGTGATAAAGAAAAAACAGAAAAGTAACCCAAGTTGAGTAGGGATGATTCGGGAAGGTATTGGGTTTCTTTTATCACAAAAATGAGAATTTCATTTAGCAGCAGATGATGGAGAAGCCAGGTGCAGAAGTAGAGTGGCAGGTAGCAAAAGAAGAGGGTCAGGATTGTGGTGGAGGAATCAGGTGATTGTAGCATACGCTAGACTGAACAGTCTGAAATTACCTAGGCTCTGCAGCAAGAAAGATTTAGACATTATGGCAGCAGCTGTAAGATAGCCTATAACCAAGAGGGACTGGAGTCAGGAGTCCTGTGAAATTTGCCTGGGTCATGTCGCTAGCTTTGGAATCAAACAGGAGCACATGTAAGAGAAGTTGCAGAAGAAAAATCAACTTAATTTTCAGTAAGGAAAAGCAAGCAGTTTGCTTGCCTAGGAGACTTCTAGTTAGATGTTTGATAGTTTCTCCAAATTTAAGCAAATCATAAGCCAAGCTGTATTTCTCATTTAATATACGTGTCTCACAGTAAACTAAGTATATTACTTTTTTTTTTTTTTTTAAATAGAGTTTCCCTCTGTCGCCCAGGCTGGAGCACAATGGCGCAATCTCGGCCCACTGCAACCTCTGCCTCTGGGGTTCAAGCAGGTCTCGTGCCTCAGCCTCCCAGGTAGCTGAGACTACAGGTGCACACCACCATGCCCAGCTCATTTTTTGCATTTTAGTGGAGATGGGATTTCACCATATTGGCCAAGCTGGTTTCAAACTCCTGAACTACAGTAAAGTAGGACATGTATATTGGATATTATGGATATCCAATTATGGATAACATTTTAAACGACACATTTTAATGCAAAAAATGAATAAATATTTTATCAAATAAGGGAAACTTCACTACTAACTATGCATACATAGAGAAAACTAGGGTAACTTTTCTATGGACAACATTTTAATTACCGATAGCATTTTAAAAGGCACATTTTAATGCAGAAAATATGAAGATTTGATCAAATAAGGAAAACTATCACTACTAACTATGCTTATGTAGAGAAAATAGGAACATGAAAAAAAGCAACATCAAAAACACTTTTACTTGACAAAATGCCGAGAAAAGGTGGCACAATCTTAAGAGGGAGTTGCTGACTTTAACCTCCGAAATACTTCTATAATTGATGTAGTTTTTTCTCATTTCTCAATTTTACTAAGTATGAAAACTGCTTTGAATTCTTTTTTTCTTTTTCTTTGGAGACAGAGTTTCCCTCTGTCGCCCAGACTGGAGCGTAGTGGCGTAATCTTGGCTCACTGCAATCTGTGCCTCCCGGGTTCAACCAATTCTCTTGCCTCCCCTCCAAGGTAGCTGGGACTGCAGCTGCGCGCCGCCATGTTCAGCTAACTGTTTGCATTTTAGTAGAGACAGGGTTTCACCATGTTGGCCAGGCTGGTTTCAAACTCCTGAGCCTCAGGAAAGTGCTAGGATTACAGGCATGAGCCACCATCCCTGGCCTGCTTTGAATTTTTTGTTGCTTAGTAGTAGTATATTTAGAAATGTATAGCATTACTGCCTGACATTTATTTTTCTGGGTATTTTTACTGAATATTCCTTCCCAGCTAGCAACCCAAGATTTTACGGTTGTT